AATACACAGCATGCAGCAGAAGAGACATCCCCAGAGCTGGGAAGGTCTGGATCGGGTCTATTCATTTCTTAGGGCTACTGTAAGAAAGTACCACAAACTGGGTGGTTTAAAACAACAGAAACTTGTCTCACAGTTCTACAGACTCAAAGTTCAAAATCAAGGTGTCAGCAGAGCCATGCTCCCTTTAAAATCTCTAGGGAATAATCTTCCTTGCTTCTAACTCCTTTGGTTGCCAACCGTGGCATTTCTTGGCTTATGCAAACCCTGCCTCTGTCTTCACATGGCCTTATTTCACCTGTGTCTCCTCTGTGTTTTCAAATTTCTTTCCTTGTAAGGACACCAGTCATAGGATTTAGGGCCCATCGTAATCCAGTATGACCTCATTCGAGTGCAGTGGCACCATCTTGGCACACCGCAACCACCGCCTCTCAGGTTCAAGCAATTCTCCTGCTTCAGCCTTCCGCGTAGCCGGGATTACAGGCTCGCACCATCACACCAGGTAATTTTTGAATTTGTAGTAGAGATGGAGTTTCACCATGTTGGTCTGGCTGGTCTCAAACTCCTGACCTCAAATGATCTGCCCACCTTGGCCTCCCAAAGTGATGGGATTACAGGTATGAGCCACAGCACCCAGTCTGACCTCATCTTAATTTGATTACATCTGCAAAGACCTGGTCTCTAAATAAAGGCACATTCACAGGTACTGGGGTTAGGAGTTCAACTTTGTCTTTTGGGGCTGCACACAGTGGCTCACGCCTATAATCCCAGCATTTTGAGAGGCCAAGGCGGGTGGATCACCTGAGGTCAGGAGTTTCGAGACCAGCCTGGCCGACATGGTGAACCACGTCTCTAATAAAAATACAAAAAATTATCCAGGCATGGTGGCGGGCACCTGTAATTCCAGCTACTCAGGAGGCTGAGGCAGAACAATTGCTGGAACCTGGGAGGCAGAAGCTGCAGTGAGCTGAGATCATGCTACTGCACTCCAGCCTGGGCGACAGAGCGAGACTCTCAAAAAAAAAAACAAAACAAAAAAAGTCTTTTTGGGAACAGAAATGGATCCGATAAACACAAGCGGAAAGTGGACCAAACCCAGGAAAACCCAGCTGTAAAACCAGCCAGGGTGGGAGCCCAAGACCACTCAGTAAAGTGAGAGCTGTCCTACATCACTCTAATGGCCCCCTCTGTTAACTCCCGCCCTCTGGCCTTGGCTTGGGGAAGCAACCAGTCACAGGGAAGAGGCGGTGGGGGGATGGGCAAGTGAGCAGGCACAGATTGGTCCCCCACAACCTTGTCTCCCCAAAAGAAGACAGCCAAGAACTGCAACTGCACGCTGTAGTGGAAAAAGATGTTCTATCTATAAAATAAAGAACGTTAAATTGTTAATTAATATCCTTTGGACTGAGGCCATTCTAAAAAAAAACTTCTTATTTGGAAATGTTTAAGCATACAACAAAATAGATTTGAAACAGAAATACCGAGTTCCTAATGTACCCATTTGCCAGCTTTCAACAATGTATCAACTCATGGCCCAATCATTTTTTTTTTAATCAACACCCCTCAACCACTCCCTCCCTCTCAATAGGCTTCTTTCCATGTAAATCTCACGATAATATAATCTGGAGAATACTTCATTCAAGTTAATTTCAACATGTCTCTGAAAGATAAAACTGGTTTTAAAAGTAAAACATAAACAACAAACAGACCTGAGAAGGCCCCTAACCCAGGCCCTCAACGTAGGGAGGAAGGGAGAAGGGAGCAGAAAAAATAACCTATTGGGGTACTAGGTTTAGTACCTCGGTTGGATAAACAGTCCTGTCAACAAACTTCAATAATATGAGTTTACACTTGTGGTAACCAAAACCTGCCACATGTACCCATGAACCTAAAAGTTTAAAAAATAAAAAAATAAAAAAACCCCACAATTATTATAACCTCAAATTAAAACAATCCCTTTATCAAATAATCTACTGAATGTTTCAAATATTTCTGTTTGATGTGTAAAACTTTTCATGATGTTTTCTTTGGTTCACCTGAAAGATCCAAAAAAAGATCTCTATTACACATTGCCCAATTAGTAATTTTATCGCTTTAACCTGTTAGGTTCCGTCTCTTCCTCCTCAACCCTTTTAATTCTTACAATTTTTAAAAAGAAACTGAGTGTTTGCCCTGGGTTGCGGTGGGTTCACAACCTGTAATCCCAGGCACTTTGGGAGGCGGGAGGTGCCGGCATCAACAAGGTTCCAGGAGAATTGGAACCCATGCTTGGGCCTAACAACCGGTGAAAACCCAGGTCTTCTTACTAAAAATGAAAAAATTAGCTGGGCGTGGGTGGCGGGCGCCTGTAGTCCCAGCATACTCTTGGAGGCTTGAGGGCAGATGGCATGAACCGGGAGGCCAGAGCTTGCCAGTAAGCCGAGATAGGCGCCACTGCCACCCTCCAGCCTGGGCGACAGAGGCGAGACTCCGTCTCAAAAAAAAGAAAAGAAAACTAAAAAAACTTGAGTGTTCCCGGTCCCTAATAGATGTCCAGTGTCGACGTATTTGCTTATTGCACTCCCATGCTTGTTCTTCCTATCCTTACCCACTGGTATTTTCTATACATTGGTGGTTACAATCTGGAGCAATTTGATTCTCAAAGGTAGCCTCACTACATTATCTGGGGAGCTCCCTTAAAAAACCCTGAAGCTTGGCCGGCACGGTGGCTCAACCACCTGAATCCAGCACTTCGGGAGGGCTTGAGGCAGGTGGGATCACCTGAGGTTCCAGGAAGGTTCGAGACCAGCTTGGCCAACATCGTGAAACCCCAACTCTACTAAAAACACAAACATTATGCCAGGGGTCGGTGTTGGTGGGTGCCTTGTAGTCCCAGCTATTCAGGAGGCCTGAAGCCAGGAGAATCATTTGAAACCCGGGCGAGGGCAGAGGTTGTAAGTGACTAAGATCATGCCCTCTGCAACTCCAGCCTGGCAACAGAGTGGAGACTGGGTTCTCAAAAAATAATAATAATATAATAATAATAAAATAAAAATACATAAAATAAATAAATATCTCTGAAGCCCCAGGCAGGTCCAAGAGCATTAATACCAGAGACTCGGTGGGGGGGGGGGCGCGGGGGATATCTGAGACACAGGAATTCTTTTAAACTAACTCAGAATGGATCCCACTATGCCAACCAATATTGAAAGACCACCGATCCTACAAGTTTTGATCAGAATCCAGGCTCAGTTTTTTTCCCCTCTGGCTACAGACGGTCCGTTGCTGTGTACCTTACACTGGATTTCAAATTCAGATGGACCCTCTGTCTACAAGGAGGAAAATGTGGAAAGTGTCCATCACCTATGACTGACGAAGAGAGCCTCTAGAATGGCCCCTATTGTTCATCTAGTGGCAAGAGATGATTACCCCCCCACTCGACAAGTTCTGAAGAGACTACCTCTGGGAAGTGCTGCGGGTTTGGTGGTGGCAGCGGTCGTGTTTGTGTGTGTGTCCATGAGGGGTTTGAGCCTTACCTCTGGCTTGTAAGCTTTAGATTGAGAATACAATTGTGTATTAATTGTATAAGTTAGTGAAAAGAAAGAACAAATGATGGCTTTTTAACAACAAAATTTCATATTTTTTATTTAAAAACTATTTAAAAAGTACTCATTACAGAAAATTTGAAAAATAGGAGAAGAAAAAAAAGTAATCACCTATAAATTCCCCACTCAAAGATAACCATTGTCGTGGAATTGGAGTTTATTATGTTAAGTGAAATAAGCCAAGCAACAAAATAAAAAACTGTGTTCTCATTTTTGTGGGAGCTAAAAAAAACAACTGAACTCACAGAGACAGAGAGTAGAATGGTGGTTACCACAGGCTGGCAAGGTAGTTGGGGATTGGGGAATGGGCATGGTAAATGGGTACAAAAAAGTAGTGCAGCTGCGGTGGCTCACATCTGTAATCCCAGCACTTTGGGAGGCCAAGAGCAGGAGAACACTTGAACCATGGAGTTCGACCCAGCCTGAACCCAACGTGGTGACAACCCATACTCTATTACTGAAAAATCAAAAACGCCGGAATGGCCAGCATGTCCCTGTACACCCCAGCTACTGGGATACCAGGCAGGATAATATCTGAGCTTCCCGGAGACGGAGGTTGCAGTGAAGCCGAGATCCAACCATTGCACTCCCAGCCCGGGAGAGAGTGAGCCCTAATCTCAAAAAAAAATAAGAATAAGATCCTAAGATTATGAATACGCCAACACAGGGTGCTATAGTAAAATAATTAATTGTACATTTAAAATAAAAGGTATAACTGAACGTTTGTAAGACAAAGGAATAAACACTTAAGTGATGGAGTCCTATTTACTTTGATGTGAATACACACTGCATGCCTTTATAAAATATCCATGTAACCCATAAATAATCCTGTTATGTACCACAAAAATAAAAAAAAACTAAAGCCTGAAATAAAACAAAAACCAAAGATAACCTTGTTAAGTATTGATCTATTATCTCCAAGAGTTTAACATTCCTGTGATTAAAAACTTAACTTTACGGACAAAACCCTTCCTTAGTTTTTAACCTCCTTTCTCTGGCCGGGTCCACAGCACTAGAATAGTAAATTAATAATTGTCCTCTGTCCAGGGGCCGGGCACCAGTGGTCAACGCCTGTAAACCCCACGCAATTGGGCAGGCCAAGGTGGGCAGATCACCTGAAGTCAGGAGCTCAAGACCAGCCTGGCCAGCATGGTGAAACCCCATCCGTACTAAAAATACAAAATCTCAGCTGGGTGTGGTGGCAGCCACCTGTAATCCCAGCTACTTGGGAGGCCGAGGCAGGAGAATGGCTTGAACCTGGGAGGCGGAGGTTGCAGGGAGCTGAGATCACGCCATTGCACTACAGCCTGAGCAACAAGAGCGAAACTCTGTCTCAAAAAAATAAATAAATAAATAAAATAAAATAAAATAAAAGTTTAATAATATTCCATAATACCTATTTTGTTACTATTTTATAACAATCGACATTTATTGCTATGTCATAATAACATTTATCATTTATCAGTTGCAATTCTCACAAAAGCTTGACGATGTGAGTTCTTTTATCATTCCCATTTTATAGATCAGGAAATAGGTTTGGAAACGATAAATATCTTGCCCAAAAATGTAGCATGTCCAGTCTTCTTTCTCCAACTAGACGCTGGGATGAAGCTGGCCAAGGGAGTGTCTTTTCCCTGAAGTTGCAAGTATTTCAGAATCAAGAGCCCTGCAGAGTCCTGAGTTAAAAGAGAGCCAACAGCGATGTTTCAGAGAAGGGCAAGAGCTCAGAAGCTGATCCCAGAATCCACACAACAGACCCTGAGAATCTGTCAACTACGGAGATGAAAGCAGGGATGATGCATGGAAGGGAGGGAAGTTTCCAGGTTAACACCTGGGGTAGTGGTGTCACTCCTGTCTGTGTTTAGTATGCCCAGAGGGGCCAGGTGTGGGTGGGCAGTCCAGAGCTGGAACCAACCCATTTCAATGCACTTAGTACAGAATGCCAAGTAAAGACTTCCCTTGTTTCTTTGAAACAGTGCTGCCAAGTAATTGTCATAGAACATTTATGGATCTGTCCTTCCGCCCCTCCCTTCCCGCTTTCCCCTGGAATAGCAAGCAGAGCTGGTCGTAAAGGTCAGAACTTTTTCCTGGGTGCTCTGGAGTAAATAAAGCCATTTCCTCCTGCCTACAATGATGAGCTATTCCTGGTGGGGTAATCTTGACTCTGACCTACGGATTTGTGCACCTAGAAAGGATTTAATTTTTTTAGCTAGGAGTTTGGAAGAAATGCTTTCTGTGTACTGCGTAAGTATCCAATTGTGTTTCTTAATTATGTTTGCTTTACAGTTACCATGGAAAGAATAAAACCAAATGAAAAAATGTAGCAACATGGCTGTCTACAAAACAGAAAAGAAATCTTAAAGATATTTTAAGAGGCAAAGATGCTACTTATTTATTTTTTGTTATGGACAGCAGCCAGTAGGCTAAGAACCTTTTAGGAGGTTTTCCTTGGTATGGCCAGGCAGAAGAGCTATTTTGAACAAGTGGCAGCAGAGGGCACTCTTCCTACAGGTTAGTTTCTATCCTCACTTCTCCAAGGAACACACTTGTTAAAATGCCTGTGTATATATATGTTAACAAGTTTACGGCCGTTTCAAAAAATAGATGACAGATTAGATATAGATGATTGATTGATTGATTGATTGATAGATGAGAGATGATACAGATAGATGATAGATATGATAGATGAGAGATGATAGATGATCGTTGACATAGATAGATAATTGATAGATAATAGATAATTAGATGATTGATATATGGATAGATATATAGATGACAGTTGATATAGATAGATAATTAATAGATGATAGATAATTAATTAGATGGTTGATGGATAGATAGATAGCTGATATAGATAATTGATAGATGATAGATGATTGATAGATGGATAGATATATAGATGATAGTTGATACAGATAGATAATTGATAGATAATCGATGATTGATAGGTAGATATATTGATGATAGATAGTTGATATAGATAGGTAATTGATAGATGATAGAAGATTGATAGATGGATAGATACATAGATGATAGGCAGTTGATATAGATAGATAGATAGATAATTGATAGATGACAGGTTACTTTTATGGCTCCTCCCATGTCCATTAAAACTGAAATCGTGTGTGATTATGTTTCCTCGAATCATTACCACTGTTTTCTCCTTAAGCGTGTTAATGTCCTATTTCACCATAGAAACTTTCAATATTTTGCTCAGAAACTCAGGGCTTTTGGGTACTGCCCTCCCACTGTCTAGTTTTTGTGCTTTCTTTTGGGGTCCTCTCTGGAGGCCACAACCATCTTTGGAGCATGCCCAGGAGAGAAGGAGGTGGATCTAGTTCCTCCTGGAGTGACTTTGGTGATGTCCTTTGCTGCGGACAGATTACAATCAGCTCCAACATCCCTTCCTCCTTTCTTTTTCCTTTGCCTCCCCTCCTCTCCCACATCTCTATTCCTCCTAGCCTTTCTTCACTCCTCTGTACACCCATCATTTTCCTCCAACTCCAAGATCACAGGCATCACCATGTAAGCCTCCTATCCCAGATAACCAGTCTCCAAGATGACCTCATTATCCCCATCTCCTTGTATGTACATCCTTGTGTAGGACCCTCCTGCATTGAGCAGGGCTGAACTGTGTTCGCACTGGGATATATGGGAATGACAAGGCGGCATGTGACTTCCAAAGTTAAGGTCACTTTGCTGTCTCGGATCACTAAGCCAGTTGTCATGTTGTGAGGAGGCTCAAGCTGTCCTGTGGTGGGTCCCTGTGGCAAGGAACTGAGCTCTCCTGCTGACAGCCAGCAGTGTCTTCCCAACCATTAGAGTGAGTCACCTTAGAAGCACATTCTCCAGCTCCAGTGTATCCTTTAGATAACTGCCACTCTGGTCACCATCTTGTCTACAACCTCATGAGAAACCTCAGCCAGAACCACTCAGCTAAGTTGCCTCTGAATTCCTGAGCCACACAAACTGGGAGATAATAAATGTTTACTGTTTAAGACTCTAAATTTGGAGTAATTTGCTATTCAGCCATAGAAACTGACACTCATTTCATCGTGCCTGACACTGCTGTCTCCGTGGTTTCACGTCCCTGTGGTTAAAGCTCTCTTAAGGGCTCATCACTAATTTCAGGATAAAATCCAAATCCCTTAACATAGCATAGGTCTTTTATGAACTGCCTCCTGCGTGCCTCTCAGTCCCATCCGGCCCACTCTGCCTTTCCTCCTTGTGTCACTCCAGCTACTCTGAAACACACTGCACCTTCCTAAATGTGGACAGAGAAAGTTGCCAGGCTTTTCATAGGATGCCCAGTGAAATTTGAATTTCAGATAAACAACGAATAATTTGTGTGGTTATATAATACTTGGGACATACTTATACTAAAAATATTGCATGACACATACTTATTCTTAAAAGTTATTCATTATTTTATCTGAAATTCACATTTAATAGGGCATCCTGTACCTTCCGTTGCTAAATCTGGCAATCCTAGAGATGTGAGCTGCTCACTTTCAGCTCCTGCTCAGCCCCCAGCTGGATCGCTGCAGCTCCCCCTGATAGCTCCCTGCCCTGCAAGAGTCAGCCCAGACATCAGTGCCCCTAGAAAGCCTAAGCTAACTTCTCTGCACCATACACACCTAGGATGGGTCAGATGTACCTGCTGCAGGCTCCTGCCCACCTATCACACCTCTCTTGCACCACACACTTTGCAAGTATTTGTTTACCTGTCTCCATTACTAGACTCTGAGCTTCTTGAGGTCAGGCACTGTCTTACTCACCACGACGTGGCTTCAGTGCCAAAAACATAGTATAATCATAGTTTACAATTACTGAAGATTTACTCTAAGCTAGTCACTGTTCTAAGATGTTCTGCATGTATCAACTCATTGAATTTTCATATCAAGCCAAAGGAGGTACTATTAATATCCAACTTTTACTGGGGAGGAATCTGAGACAGAAATAGGTTTTGCGACTTCTCCAGTGTCATTTGAAAATGGCAAGAAAGTTGGGGTTCAAAGCCAGGAGTCTGACTCCAGAGCCCATCCTCTAACGAGCTAGACACATTGCGTCTTTACAGTGTATGATAAGTGCTTGCCAAATGCATGTAAGAATTGACTATCCAGCTAAGTTTCTCCAAACTAGATAACTGTCTTTAAGCAGGGACCTTGCTGCCTGTGCCCCTCCCAGCTCTCTCTCCAGTCACCACTACTGAGCACAATGCATGGTGCCTTCACAAGCAAATACTGAAGAATTATACTGGTCTGTTCTCCCCTCTTTAAATCCTGACTACAGATCCAGTGTAGTGCCATATACCACACCTCCCTAAAAAAGAATGGTTATAGGCAGAGCACGGTGGCTCACACCTGTAATTCCAGCACTTTGGGAGGCCAAGGCAGGCAGATCACCTAAGTTCAGGAGTTCCAGATCAGCCTGGGCAACATGGTGAAACCCCGTCTCTACTAAAAATACAAAAAATTATCCGGGCATGGTGGCATGTGTCTGTAATCCCAGCTACTCGGGAGGTTGAGGCAGGAGAATCCTTTGAATCTCTGAGGCGGAGGTTGCAGTGAGCCAAGATCACCCCACTGCACTCCAGCCTGGATGTCAGAGTAAGACCCCATCTCAAAAAAAAAAAAAAAATGGTTACAGCATGCGCCTTAGAAATATAAGCCAAGAGAGGACTGTGGTTAATACTGTGAGTTCTAGAGTAAAATTCCCTCAGCTTAGATCCCAACTCTACTGCTTATCAGCTGTATGGTTTGGGATGAGGCCCTGAGACTTAGATTCTTCATCTGAGAAATGGAGACGTAGCATCTGGAACACAGCATCAGTAAATGTCAGCTGTCACCATTGTCACTGCCAATCCACTCAGCCCACAGGCAGGTATGTGTGGGCCTGGCACCCCCATGAATTTCTGTGACTTCCTCAGTTCCCTTCTGCTGTGCAAAATTTCCGACAGGGGTTAGAGAGGGCGACCTGCATCAGCTTTGGAGTTTCAAGGCTGAGCCTTAGAGACTGAAATTAAGAAAGTGAAACCAAGGGAGGAAGGCTGCCCCACAGCCCAGGGAGCAGCTAGAAAGAAACATAAGTAGTCCCACTGGCCCTCGCTTCCTCAGCTCTACAGAGCTGCTTGGCTGGAACTGTGCCAGACTCCCAGGTCAGAAGCTACTGTGCTTTTGGGACTGCTACCCCAGGAAAAGCCTTCACACCTATCAGGAAACAATGCACACTGACACTCAGGGTCTGCAGCCACAGAGTGCTGCACATCTCAGTGGTACCCGGTTAAAGGAACACCCTTTACTTCATAAGTGGCCAGAAACACATGAGAACCTCTGTGCCTTGTCAGGGAGTGGGTACCTAGCCTAACTTAATCCTGGGGTACCTGGGATGAAATTGAAGGCTAGCATTTTTTAACATGCTGGACACTGCACTAAGTGTTTCACACATGTCACTTCACTTAATCCCTACAACAATACTGCATGTTTTGGGGTTTTTTGTTTGTTTGTTTTTTGGGACAGCGTCTCTGTAAGGTTTTTGGTTTTGGTTTTGTTTTGTTTTGTTTTTTGAGGCAGGGCCTCGCTCTGTCACTCAGGTTAGAATGGAGTGGCTCACTGCACCCTGTACCTTCGAAGCTCAAGTGATCCTCCCACATTAGCCTCCCAAGTAGCTGGGACTA